CAACCTGAAAATAATCCAAAAGGAAAACAGACTTACTTGAGAACTGGCTGAACAAATACTGCGGTATCTACTAATATCACCAAATACCAATTGAAAGCAAATTTGAGAGGTACTAGATGATATCTAGGAAATTTTAAATTATTAGAGTGAATATCTCTGTTTCGATTTTAAAATCTTGTCTTTTATAAGAGTCTCTTTTTGCTTGCTTGTGATATACCGATTATAGCAACATGTGCCTGACACATGCAGCCACGGAATGTGTATGTAAGATCAAAACAAATTCGTCCATCAATGTCAAGATCCACTCTTCCTCATGTCGGTGAAAAACTAGATCTTGACCGGTGTTTGAAGGACTTCTCCTGCAAATTACAACGGCTTCCCTTTTAGATAAAATTATTAATTTTCGCCCAAAGTTATAACAAAACACTTATTGCTCTCCTTTATATCAGAATATGGGGCAGCTCAATCACAAATACACCGTGGTATATGTACCCTAATTAACAAAATATATTATAGTTTATTTATTTATATTTATTTGTTATTATTATTATTATTATTATTATTATTATTATTATTATTATTATTATTATTATTATTATTATTATTATTATTATTATTATTATTGTTTTTGTTGTTATTGTTATTGCGGTTATGATTGTTTTTGTTGTTTGTTATTGTTGTTGTTATTGTTGTTATTTTCATTGTTTTTATTGTTGTTATTGTTGTTGTTGTTCTTCCTGCTGCTACTACTACTACTGCTGCTGCTTTTGTTGTGTAGCTACTATATTGTAATCATAGCCACTATTATACCTTTTAAAAAGTTTTTCCACTGTTGGTCGTGTTGTAAATAATAATAGCTGAAGAGTTTATAACAATGCTCTAGTTTAAACGTTTGACACAAGCTGAGAGAGAGAGAGAGAGAGAGAGAGAGAGAGAGAGAGAGAGAGAGAGAGAGAGAGAGAGAGAGAGAGAGAGAGAGAGAGAGAGAGAGAGAGAGAGAGAGAGAGATTGCGTCATGGCATTGAGCATCTGGTATCGCACTTTATAAATGAGATCATGATAAATTAGTATATTTTGTGTGTGGTTTATTATGTGAGTTGAACTGGATAAAAAAACAAGGGGTTTGGCCAAAGTCCATACAATAGGGGTAATTATATTTTATTTGATATTTTATCCGTATTGATGTTTCATGGAAAAATGCCCTTCTAAAATCTCTTCCTCCAATGTTATTTTCTCTCTCTCTCTGTCTCACTGTATATATATATATATATATATATATATATATATATATATATATATATATATAAAAGAAAACGTGAGTGTTTATTAGAGTACATTATGCCTCAACGCCTTCACAAGATTGTATGCTACGTTTGGTGTCCGTTACTTTACGTTAATGATATAAAATGTCAAGTTTGTATATACTTTGATACTATTCTACTCGGTTTTTATGGACACTGTAATTCTGAAAAAGATGTCATCTTAAGTGCATGTGATGACGGATTTAATGTTCTACAGCTATGGTTTACCCTGGACAGTTCATTTCCGTACCGTTATTCAACAGAGGACAGAAACCAGGTAACACATTGCATGGTTTGCATTTGTCCAGTACGTGATATGCTAAACAAGACGACCACTATATTTAGTGGAGTAAGAATCCATGCAAACCTAGGAAACAACCACCAACCCACGGAACACTACTAGTAAGTATTTCCACATACCCACGCTGGCTTTGTCCAGGCTCAAACCTAAGCTGACAGATGTGAGATAATAGTGATTTCTAAGGCAAGCACCACAGACCACTCGACCACCCGTGGCACCGTATCATATGCATGGCTGTCCTGTATGATAATCTAAATGGATAACTTGCATCTTTGGAGGAATAGATCCTTCATGCCTTGCATTTTTTGCGCTAGTTCAAGTGTCGTCGAGCAACTTCGGGATATACAAGTAACCAGAACGATATCTGTTGATCCGCTATCTGACTGGATGATAGGAAAGAAACTGATCCAGTCAGATTATTCATTACCTTGGCCAATAAAGATAGTGGGGAATAATCATAACTGCCTTCATGTATATGTATATGTATATGTATATGTATATGTATATGTATATGTATATATATATATATATATATATATATATATATATATATATATATGTATATGTATATGTATATGTATATGTATATGTATATGTATGTATGTTGTGTGTGTGTTCATTGTAACTCCTTTCTTTGTTTTTTTTTAATTTCAATTCATAACTATAAAATGTAGTGTCGACCTATAGCTGGAATTTACGTACGTACATAGGGTCATGTTTGAGATATTAAAGAACCTAACACTGCACAGGATCTACAAATAGATATGTACGTACATCTTGACAGTTGCTATTAAAATAATTATTAGCAAATATGATTATCAGATTCTGCTTTTTATCTCATTAGACAAATTGATCAGATGTTTTCGTAGAAGAATTAAGTTAATTTTCATTGGATGGGTTCTATCACATTGACAGGTATTGTTAAATATTAGATTAAATAGTAAGATCTGTCACGTTGGGTATATTGCGATATATAGTTGCAATAGACTTTTGAATGTGTGTGTATATATATATATATATATATATATATATATATATATATATATATATATATATATATATATATATATATATATATATATATAAATAAAACGAGCGAACTGAGCAATCAAATTCAGTCCTAGTTTAAAAGTCATTCTTATTTCACGAGTTCCATTTGTATCATTAAGTCTGCACAGATGTATAATCTTCTACGTAGATATTTTTTTTTGAGCGCAGATATATTTGCATCAACTGTTAGTTTAAATAGGAAGTGCTCATTGGTTTATAATATGATCGAAATAGTTCTTGACAATTCAATTTTGACAACGTCATACTTCTTGGCGGACTAATACAATTACCGGTAATGACGTTTATAGGCAGTTTTCATTTATTTTGGACTTAAATAGAACGTTTTCGATTACTTCATAATAATGTAAGTTCCTCCGCATTTTCATTTATGATTTTGATCATTAAAACAGTCGATAAATTTTATAAACATTGTTGGTTTCATTTCTTTCTGTTACTTAGTTTATGACCACAGAGTCGCAACAGTTTACGCGTGTCACGTGCAAATTTGAGTCAAGGCATATAGGCACCATTAAAGTCACCATCTTAACAGCCAAATTGATCAAGAAACAATCTCTCTAATTGATCAAGTGATTTATGCATGCCATGGACAGTAACTCTCCATCCGTAAGAAGTTTATTGTTAAATATATTGTTGTATGTATATATTAAGGGTCTAATATCGATCGGCTATTTACGTCAGGTCGTGAAATAGCCTCCACAGGGTTGTAGGAATGCATAAAAATTTGATGTGCCTCGTGATTTGCCTTTGATGGAGTGCACTACATATGTCACGACAGCAAAGGTCGAGATTGTTCTGGTTGTGACGTTATCTTCTTCCGCGGCTATTCACTCCATGTGAATGAATGTAATTCAGAAATTGTTCTCAATGATAACGATTTACATCTGAGGTTTCTTCGATAACCTCACGGAAAATGCCAAAGTAGTTCCAGTTGTGTTAAACAATCGGGGTATAAAGACCCCTTAGCGCAAAGTTGCTCTTGCAAGAAAAAGGAAACAGCGAATGGTTCGATCCTGTCAATGAACCCTACTTAGCACCGTCTCTCTCCATGAACTATTATCAATAGCCGTGTTAATAGTAGCTGTTGAACAGTTTGAGTCATTGCACAGCATTAACTAATACAAATCAGCTTGGCAGAGGAGACTGACAAGTCACATACAGTGGACTAAGATACAAAGACATCTTTAGACTGAGACAAAATTATTCTCTAGATTTTGCTTTGATTGGAAAATAAACTAATTTGTATTTATTAAATAAAGTCCACATAATTGTAAAGTGTTTATGGAATTAAGCTAGGAGTGAAACTATTAATTTTATCTTCAGTATAAGATATATAAATATAACCACTGTCTGTTGTAGCATCTGAAAATGAAATGATAGGAATGGACTCTCAACGATGTATTTATTCAATCCAAGTGATACAAATTTGGGAAGTTTTGTTTTAATCTATGATATAATGCTTTCAGATTTTTCATCGCTTTAAGTTGCCACATATTTTGTATACTCGGCTATCTGTAATATTATACTTTATACACTCGGTGATATGTAGTATAATTTTCACACTCGATTAAATATAATGTTATCATTTATACACTCGGTTATATGTAATAATGTGTACACTCGGTTATCTGCAATATTATAACTCGTACACTAGGTTATATGCAATAGCATTATATGTACATTATCTGTTATAATGTGTGCACTTGGTTATCTTTAATATTATAATTTATAGATGGATATCTGTAATATTTTAATTCATACTCTCTGTTATATATATAATAATATTATTCGTACACTTGGTTTTCTGTATTATGATTTGTACACTATGTTATCCATAAAATTATAATTTGTACACATGGTTATTTGTAATATACAAATATGAGAGAGAAGTATTTTCTTCTCATTTCTTTTTACAATTTTATATATATACCTAATAATTTGTCACAAAGCGCTAAATTGGGTTCTGCATCAACATAGACCGATAGACGCCACACGAGAGTAAACGTCAATGACGACACTTAATCGTACAATTAAACAAACCTATATTTGCTTATCTAAAGAAAAAGATAACTGTATGGCACTTTGTATAAAGATAAATGCAGGGTACTTTGTATAAAGACCTTAGAAGATCTTTCTTTCTTATACCCCCTCCCAACATTTTGTTGTCCATTACCTTTTATTGCCAATTACCGTTTGTTGCCCATTGCCTTCGATGCAGAGCACCTTTTGTTGTCGAGTACTTTTTGTAGTTCTTTTTTTTGTCGTCCATTATTTTCGCTGTTCAGTACCGTTTACTGCCAATTACCGTCTGATGTCCATTACATTTTGTTGACCTCTCCGGCGGCCTAGTGGTTAGAGCGTCCGCCTAGGATGCTAGAGGTCATGGGTTCGATCCCCGGCCGAGTCATACCAAAGTCATAAAAATAGCATAAACAGCTGCCTCGATTGAGGCTAAACATTAAGAGCTTAGTGTTAGGACTGGTCAACCTATTGTCAGAATAATGTGACTTGGTGGGACATCATGCTTTATATTGGGGCATGATGCCCCGGTACTAGACATCACAATAAACTGACACACTGCAGATATCATAGCGATATGTCTGAAAATTTTTTAAAGTTACGTTAAAAATCCACATTGCGCAGGCAGGCACACACACAAACACACACACACATTGTTGTACATTACGATTTGTAGTCCATTGCCATTTGCTGTCCGTTACATTTTGTTATTCAATATCTTTGACAAGCTATCTCGCATAGATACATTGGTCGAGTACGAGACTCAAAATACGCGGACAAAGGTGAGATTTTAGGGAGCAGTACACGAGTGCTCATTTGATGTTGAGCGTAATAATATTATGATTCTAGGTTTATTGACTTTATTCAGCATAGCAATGTTAAGTGCTCCTTATTTGATCTTTCAACTGAGAAAACAGACCCTGATAGAGTTTTGTGTTTGCACTTTCCTAATAACACTTACCTGAAATTTGGACAAGGTCAAACACAATATACATACATACCTACCTACCTACCTACCTACCTACCTACCTACCTACCTACCTACCTACCTACCTACCTACCTACCTACCTACCTACATATACAAACATATACATACATACATAGATACATAGATACATACATAGATACATAGATACATAGATACATATTTACATACATACATACATACATACATACATACATACATACATACATACATGCATGCATGCATGCATGCATGCATGCATGCATGCATGCATGCATGCATGCACGCACGCACGCACGCACGCACGCACGCACGCACGCACGCACGCACGCACGCACGCACGCACGCACGCACACACACACACACACACACACACACACACACACACACACACACATACATACATACATACATACATACATACATACATACATACATACATACATACATACATACATACATACATACATACATACATACATGTGTTTCATCTGGCTTTTCACGCCCAGTATTAGCTATTTGGATATAAAGTTGAGGTAGGATTTTAGAGCGCATCCTTATTAATCGTTCGCGAAAACATCGCTCTATCAGTAGTGAGAATTGATTTTAGGTATGGGTCTCCATAAATAAAGGAAATCGTATCAATACATTTCATCCTGAGATCGATAGATGGAATGTTTATGAAATATGTCATAACGATTTCAAGATAACTTGCTACTTTTACAAGCCGATCTACCAACCGATTATCCAGTATTGAACAAACTATATGAAACACTGCCGGACTAGATACTTATTAATCGATATCCCCGCCTCCTTATTGGAATGCAATGGAAATATCGTCGGCCTTTACAAGTTGATTTTATCACGTGAATGATAGACCGCACTCGTAAAGGAAATTGGAGGCTGTGATATTTCAGTTCAACTGAAGACGCACTGTGAGAAATAGCCAAGTACGATGTCTTATTTCTTGCAAACACTTTTTGTGGCCCAAGTGACGTCTCAGTAAAAGATGACGTATATTTCTGTTGCTTAACTGGCAAAACAAATTATTAATCTTCACATTTCTTCAGGTTGGGTCTAGATTAAAAAGTATATTGCCTTTGTTAGTACCGGCAGTAAACGATCACAAGGTTTTATGGAAATCCAACTGTCAATATGAGGTGCACAAAGTTCTCCCACCCCAACATATCTGTCCACAAGGACAGATTTAACTCCGGTATGTATGTATGTATGTATGTATGTATGTATGTATGTATGTATGTATGTATGTATGTATGTATGTATGTATGTATGTATGTATGTATGTATGTATGTATGTATGTATGTATGTATGTATGTATGTATGGGCCCCGAGTGGCCGAGTGGTCTAAAGCGCTGACCGTTACGGATCACTGCCATCTCATCTCTGTCTGCGCGAGTTCGAGTCCAGACTTGCCTAACGTGGGTAAGTGAGAAAGCCTGCCAGTAGCTTCTCGTGGGTCGGTGGTTCTTCCCTGTGTTTTCCAGGGTTCTTCCTCCGCCATTAATACTGGCCGCCATGTATAGCCTATCTTGTGCTGAAAAATGGCGTTAAAACCTACAACAACAACATGTATGTATGTATGTGCGTGCGTGCGTGTGTACGTACGTACGTATCTATGTATGTATGTGTAACGTAAATGAACTATCATCCTTTGAGACTGACTGGGATTTGAAAATGACACGTATGTGAGTGACAATGGAAAAAATTGTATTATCCTCTCGTGCTAATGATTATAAAATAAAGAACATGACGCTTAAATAATTATAGAGTTCATTGCATGAAAACAATGAAGAAAAACAAATTAATAATTATTTGGAATATTTAATAACTCCATGACATTACCTTAGTCACACACTACCGTACCTCTTGTCTCTATAGTCAACCACTATGCTAACATTTCTCTTTATAGTCAAAAATTATATTAACATTTTCTTTGTAGTCTAACACTATAATGACATTTCTCTTTTACTGGTATTTCTCATACATATGTCCAATGTTTACTTGACATTTCTGATAATGCTCTTGACACGTTTTCATGCTCGGTCACTTGAACCACCCAGGCCTTCAATGTACACACACGATGTTTCCCGCTCGGTCACTTGAACCATCCAGGCTTTCAATGTACACACACGATGTTTCCCGCTCGGTCACTTGAACCACCCAGGCCTTCAATGTACACACACGATGTTTCCCGCTCGGTCACTTTAACCACCCAGGCCTTCAATGTACACACACGATGTTTCCCGCTCGGTCACTTTAACCACCCAGGCCTTCAATAAACACATACGATGTTTCCCGCTCGGTCACTTTAACCACTCAGGCATTCAATGTACACAGACGATGTTTCCCGCTCGGTCACTTTAACCACCCAGGCCTTCAATGTACACACACGTTGGCAATTCGCTTGGAGGTATTTCATCACTCCTGACTTCAGCGGCCTCTAGCTACACACCTAGTTATCCACACACCTTGTTAGCTGAATAGGATAAAACAAATTTTCAAAAATATTTGAATATATTTGAATTTAAAGACTCCTGAAAAATTGGTTAAAAAGAGAAAATCAACTAGATGTCAGAGCACCAATAGAGAACATTACGGACGGAATTTTATATAACACTAATATTGTGAGAATTCTCACCCATCCAGATATGAAATTGCTCAACGGACATATGGAGACGTTAAGAAGCAATTAATTCACAGTTGTTGATATATATATATATATATATATATATATATATATATATATATATATATATATATATATATATATATATATATATATATATATATATATAAGCTGGAACATATCTTTTACAGCCTGAATCGTTGCAAATTTGTATTTAATCTCATGTGTATGCATGAGAGAGAGAGAGAGAGAGAGAGAGAGAGAGAGAGAGAGAGAGAGAGAGAGAGAGAGAGAGAGAGAGAGAGAGAGAGAGTATGTATTTTGTTTCTTTTCTACATGTAAGGACGCATGCATTTGTTTTTCTATTCATATATTTTGCTGACTTAACTTGCGGTGGTAGGTGCATTTGGAAAAATGCGAGAACATCACCTGGGCAACGGTTTGAACAGGAAAGAGAAAGAGATAATCGGAACAATGTCGGCCTTTTCTGTCTCATCTTTCTTTGCCAGATTGGAATCATCCAAACGCCTAACTTATCGACTTAGTTAAGTTCTCATTCTGAGCTACCTGTGCAATATCTGTGATACAAAAATATGCTGTTTTATGGGGTTTAACGCTATTTTTCAAATGGTTATAGGCTACACGTTCGATAGTATATCTGATGGATCAGGAACCGGAAGCTACTCATGGAGTCTGAGCCTAGACTTAAGCACATGGATGCATTGGATGCATGGTGACAGCAGCTTGCAGAAAACTTCGTGCACTGTATCACCATAAATCTCTCCGCAAAGAAAATCACGTTTGTTTGGACTAACTCCGCCATTTCTACAATGTGACTGACTATACAGTTGACAGAATAGTTGTGAATGAAATAGGAGTTTCATCATTCAGACCTTTTCAATTAATCTCTGTTTTGCAAATAGCTGAAGTGGTCCGAAGAGGAGCTCTCGCGTACATTGGCGTTTTGATCCACAGAATTCACCTCGAACTTCTGAATGAGTTACTTCCCGGGCTTGTTTTATTATTATTATTATTATTATTATTATTATTATTATTATTATTATTATTATTATTATTATTATTATTATTATTATTATTATTATTATTATTATTATTATTATTAAGTATTATGGTAGTGGTGGTAGAAGTAGCCCTTTCCTTAATTCTCAAGGAAGAGCAACATGGTTTTCAGATTGCACATTGAAATTGTGTTTCAATAGTAGAATATTTTAGTGATATTTTTGACGCATTTGAGAACACATAGTTCAGAAGACCTATATGGACGATCCTATGTATATATGTACCGATCTGGCCTGGATAATTTTCATGTCTCGTAAGCACGACCTCATGTTTAAGAAAGAAGGCCGAAGTCAACTTTGTTACGAACAACAAAAGGTTTTATAATGATATAAAATAATTGAGTTATGGTGTATGACTACTGGGTATATGAACTATAGAATCCTGCATCATTAATTTTATCTCTTTAATTCAAGTTCAAAGAACGGCTTTCGTAATAAGCTGTTTTTTAATATTCTCTATGGGGTGAGACCTTGAGTAGATGAACTAAAAAATCTTTATCGGCACCATTTAGATCTATCATTCAAAAGCGAGGAATGGCCTGGGACAAAAAACTACTTGTAATATAGTTATAATAAGATATTTTCATTAGAACTGACACTTACCTCTCATTTCTTTAGTACAATAGTATCATAAACGGCCATTTAAAAGAATACGCGTGTATGTGTGTAACTGTCTGCGTGTTGTATATGTAAGGT